TAATCCAATAACTTACCTGCTTCGTCCAAGAAGTTATTAAATACTGTCCATTTTTTTTAATAATAGACAATTTTTTTTTTTAACTTTTTGGACAGTTACAGGTAACTTATTGGAATGTCTTGGGCCTTTCAAGAAATATAAAGTATTAAAAGAAGAAAATATGATGTCATACTAATGTTTTAAAACAAAGATAGTGGTTGTTCCTTTGTCAAGCGCCCGGCAGTCATAGGGTCTTTTGGAAACCTTAAAAACCGAGGCCCCGTGTCACGGTGGTCATTAATACGTTAAAAAACCCTCCCTGCTACGGCTTAACCATAGGTCAAAAAACTGCGAACGATGTTCTGCCGCCTACCTCAAAGTCAAATTTCAAAAGTTAACATATTTGAATGATTTTTTTATATTCATATGGATATTTATGTGAATTTTCATAAAAACATAACTTTACTTGGGAAAACAAAGAGAGATAACTCTTTAATTTTGGTAAAAATTGTGTTTTTCATTATAAACCGAAAATATTTTAAAAACATCTCCCCCCCCCCCCTGAAACAAAAATTCATTTTCATGGGTTATATGAATTGTTACATCACAATTTTATACCAAAGCTTTTGTTGTTTCACGGGGGGGGGGGGATATGTATACACACAAAAAACTGCAAAAATGGTCATTTTATTAACAATTTTAAATGAGATTACAAATTAAATAAGGTCTTTTATCAATCTTTAATGTTGAATTTTACATAAGTTAGACATATGGAAAGATTTAAGGGTAATTTATCCATTTCTATGCGAAAATCTGGCCATGTTATAAAGCCCGATTTCAATGGATAAAATTTTCCACCCCCTTATGAAAAGAGTCGTAAATAAGAGCAATTAAGTTTTCGACAATGGTTTTAAAATCATTAATCAATTAATAATGAACTCTTCTTTGCATCCAATCAAGTTTTAATCCGAACTGCCATTTATTTTGATTTAAATGGGTTTAAAATGTAGGCGGGCATTGAGAGTTGGCCTGCCCGGTTCTTTAGTGCGCTTTACCTAAGGCGACGTCTATACATGAGGAAAACAAAAAAATATGTGTGGTTGCGGTAACGCCTCCATAAAAATTAGGGTAGGTAGGTAGGGATTTTTTTTTTTTTTTTTTTTTTTTTTTTTACAAAATGATTTTCTTAATTTTTCTAAATAATACCTATCCCTGCTTTGCAAGTGGCATTTAGATGTGGTGTGATAATAAACTGTAGTGAAATATTGGTAGAGGACACCTACATGCTCGCTTGCTTTGGATTTAACACTATTAAACACTTGCACTATGTTTTGCAAGGAGGCCGTCATTGCTGAAACTAAAACTTAAACCGGAGCCATTGATGGAAATCGGGGAAAATTCCGGAAAAAATATGAAAATTGCCCCAAAAAAGTTTAGGGTCGGGAGTATAAAATAGGGACGGTCGGCTAACCGGAACCACACATATTTTTTTATTTGGCCTGAGTGAAAATTTCTCGGATAATGCATTGGACGTTAAACTACTGGTTTTACTGAACTTTCCATTTTACAAGACACTCAATGGCATGCCGGTGTAAGCTTCACTCATCTTTTTTTTTTAATATATAATTCTGATTATATCTGGAAATACCTATGATAGTTGAATGAAAGAAAAGTATGAAAATCTACGCCTCATTATAACCTTGGAAAATATATTTTTCGCAAACAAATTAAGAAATTCATTTTCTACTCTTTCTACCGTATACTAGATTGTTGCTCCACTGTGATGCATAAACTGTATACATTGTATATGTATGTACTGTTTTTAATTACAAGACTTACAAGACTAAGTTCTAGGTTCATATAGAATCTGATACCTCAAAACCAGAGTTACATACCAGTAATTCTTTGAGAAGCCTTAAAAATTTGGTTTATTTTTTTATTAAGAAAATACAATGTCACATTAATAATACACCATATCAATTCACAATCAATAGTTAATCCTTTCAATATTCAATGATATTATATTTCTTAAAATACATGAAATACATGTACAAGTTTATATTATCATCATGAAAAACAAATAAAACTCTGCATTTCTCTCTCTCTCTCTCTCCAGTCATAGTTTTGTTGAATCATTTCAATGATTTTTAAAGTAATGTTTTATTTCAGCCGCAAATAAATTTCAGCATACCTTATTCAATAATGATAAATCTCTTTGAGAACAAATGATTTGAAATTTATGTTTTACACTAAATGAAATCAATATGACATATACTAGTAGCTGCAAAACTCAATTTGCATCTATATTTTACAATACCTGAATTTGGGTACATACATATATTTTTTAAAAGAATGAATTTCCAATTTTTTTTTCAAAAACATTTTTTGTTCTTCAATCAGTAAGATATTATACTGCATGTATCTCTTAAAACTGACTAAAATCTGATCAATACCTAAGAAACTGATTTGCTGCAGATACATTAACAAAATATTCTCTTCACTATACATCCCTCACTGAACTGGAGAAATAACAAGAAAATGACAAAGCGTAAATGTAATAAAAAATAATTAAAATCCAAACTACACCTGAGGGAAATTAAAGCCACATTTAGACAGACATCATTTACAGTTGGCTAGTGCGAGGTCTGTACTTGTCTGTTTGGAAAAATTGTGCAAAAATAACTTAGTTAGATTCATCATTTAAAAGTCACATTTGTTATTATGCATTTTAACCTTAATAGGAAAAGGAAAAAATGGAAGTTTGTTTCAAACTTGACTTTACACATGTATAAGATAGAGGAAATTATAAAATAAAACAGCACTGTCCTGTGATTTAGTGTCATGTTGTGTCAGATTTTGTCTGTGAATAATGAGCAACTGTCACATAACACCGCTGTCTGATTTACAACACAAAAACACACCAGGCTTACAGTGCACAACAACAAAAAAACTGCGTAAAATCCAACTCATTTACTTTTTTGTTGTTTTTTTTTTAAGTTGTTATTTTACGATTTTAATTTAATCCAATTTTAAAATTCGGTTGGAATTTCAAGTTGAGTAGTTTGAAACTGAATTTTAAGAAAAAAATCTTCAATGTATTTTTATCATCAATATCTTGATATTTTTAAAAGAAAATTATTAACTGCAAGGTTATATACTAATTAATAATAGACAATTTTTTTTTTAACTTTTTGGACAGTTACAGGTAACTTATTGGAATGTCTTGGGCCTTTCAAGAAATATAAAGTATTAAAAGAAGAAAATATGATGTCATACTAATGTTTTAAAACAAAGATAGTGGTTGTTCCTTTGTCAAGCGCCCGGCAGTCATAGGGTCTTTTGGAAACCTTAAAAACCAAGGCCCCGTGTCACGGTGGTCATTAATACGTTAAAAAACCCTCCCTGCTACGGCTTAACCATAGGTCAAAAAACTGCGAACGATGTTCTGCCGCCTACCTCAAAGTCAAATTTCAAAAGTTAACATATTTGAATGATTTTTTTATATTCATATGGATATTTATGTGAATTTTCATAAAAACATAACTTTACTTGGGAAAACAAAGAGAGATAACTCTTTAATTTTGGTAAAAATTGTGTTTTTCATTATAAACCGAAAATATTTTAAAAACATCTCCCCCCCCCCCCCCCCCCCTGAAACAAAAATTCATTTTCATGGGTTATATGAATTGTTACATCACAATTTTATACCAAAGCTTTTGTTGTTTCACGGGGGGGGGGGGGGGGGGGCATATGTATACACACAAAAAACTGCAAAAATGGTCATTTTATTAACAATTTTAAATGAGATTACAAATTAAATAAGGTCTTTTATCAATCTTTAATGTTGAATTTTACATAAGTTAGACATATGGAAAGATTTAAGGGTAATTTATCCATTTCTATGCGAAAATCTGGCCATGTTATAAAGCCCGATTTCAATGGATAAAATTTTCCACCCCCTTATGAAAAGAGTTGTAAATAAGAGCAATTAAGTTTTCGACAATGGTTTTAAAATCATTAATCAATTAATAATGAACTCTTCTTTGCATCCAATCAAGTTTTAATCCGAACTGCCATTTATTTTGATTTAAATGGGTTTAAAATGTAGGCGGGCATTGAGAGTTGGCCTGCCCGGTTCTTTAGTGCGCTTTACCTAAGGCGACGTCTATACATGAGGAAAACAAAAAAATATGTGTGGTTGCGGTAACGCCTCCATAAAAATTAGGGTAGGTAGGTAGGGATTTTTTTTTTTTTTTTTTTTTTTTTTTTTTACAAAATGATTTTCTTAATTTTTCTAAATAATACCTATCCCTGCTTTGCAAGTGGCATTCAGATGTGGTGTGATAATAAACTGTAGTGAAATATTGGTAGAGGACACCTACATGCTCGCTTGCTTTGGATTTAACACTATTAAACACTTGCACTATGTTTTGCAAGGAGGCCGTCATTGCTGAAACTAAAACTTAAACCGGAGCCATTGATGGAAATCGGGGAAAATTCCGGAAAAAATATGAAAATTGCCCCAAAAAAGTTTAGGGTCGGGAGTATAAAATAGGGACGGTCGGCTAACCGGAACCACACATATTTTTTTATTTGGCCTGAGTGAAAATTTCTCGGATAATGCATTGGACGTTAAACTACTGGTTTTACTGAACTTTCCATTTTACAAGACACTCAATGGCATGCCGGTGTAAGCTTCACTCATCTTTTTTTTTTAATATATAATTCTGATTATATCTGGAAATACCTATGATAGTTGAATGAAAGAAAAGTATGAAAATCTACGCCTCATTATAACCTTGGAAAATATATTTTTCGCAAACAAATTAAGAAATTCATTTTCTACTCTTTCTACCGTATACTAGATTGTTGCTCCACTGTGATGCATAAACTGTATACATTGTATATGTATGTACTGTTTTTAATTACAAGACTTACAAGACTAAGTTCTAGGTTCATATAGAATCTGATACCTCAAAACCAGAGTTACATACCAGTAATTCTTTGAGAAGCCTTAAAAATTTGGTTTATTTTTTTATTAAGAAAATACAATGTCACATTAATAATACACCATATCAATTCACAATCAATAGTTAATCCTTTCAATATTCAATGATATTATATTTCTTAAAATACATGAAATACATGTACAAGTTTATATTATCATCATGAAAAACAAATAAAACTCTGCATTTCTCTCTCTCTCTCTCTCCAGTCATAGTTTTGTTGAATCATTTCAATGATTTTTAAAGTAATGTTTTATTTCAGCCGCAAATAAATTTCAGCATACCTTATTCAATAATGATAAATCTCTTTGAGAACAAATGATTTGAAATTTATGTTTTACACTAAATGAAATCAATATGACATATACTAGTAGCTGCAAAACTCAATTTGCATCTATATTTTACAATACCTGAATTTGGGTACATACATATATTTTTTAAAAGAATGAATTTCCAATTTTTTTTTCAAAAACATTTTTTGTTCTTCAATCAGTAAGATATTATACTGCATGTATCTCTTAAAACTGACTAAAATCTGATCAATACCTAAGAAACTGATTTGCTGCAGATACATTAACAAAATATTCTCTTCACTATACATCCCTCACTGAACTGGAGAAATAACAAGAAAATGACAAAGCGTAAATGTAATAAAAAATAATTAAAATCCAAACTACACCTGAGGGAAATTAAAGCCACATTTAGACAGACATCATTTACAGTTGGCTAGTGCGAGGTCTGTACTTGTCTGTTTGGAAAAATTGTGCAAAAATAACTTAGTTAGATTCATCATTTAAAAGTCACATTTGTTATTATGCATTTTAACCTTAATAGGAAAAGGAAAAAATGGAAGTTTGTTTCAAACTTGACTTTACACATGTATAAGATAGAGGAAATTATAAAATAAAACAGCACTGTCCTGTGATTTAGTGTCATGTTGTGTCAGATTTTGTCTGTGAATAATGAGCAACTGTCACATAACACCGCTGTCTGATTTACAACACAAAAACACACCAGGCTTACAGTGCACAACAACAAAAAAACTGCGTAAAATCCAACTCATTTACTTTTTTGTTGTTTTTTTTTTAAGTTGTTATTTTACGATTTTAATTTAATCCAATTTTAAAATTCGGTTGGAATTTCAAGTTGAGTAGTTTGAAACTGAATTTTAAGAAAAAAATCTTCAATGTATTTTTATCATCAATATCTTGATATTTTTAAAAGAAAATTATTAACTGCAAGGTTATATACTAATCAAAATCTTTACCCATTTTGTTCCATTGATCTTTCCACAAATTTATGATGGTGTTTGACTAGGAATGTTACAGAATTAAAATTTAATCAATAAACAATGGATCAGCCTAAGGTAAATATAGTGTACAAAACTATTCATTCATTGTATGAGAAAGTCTGATTTTTGTTTACTTTTATTTTTCATTTCTGATTTGAAGAAACCTGCACTCTGATAATAGTATGAAACGTTGCACAATATTTTCATGACTTGAAGTTGAAATAAGTGTAATATACCTGATTGTACACATGAATTTGGAAATCTTTATTGATACTGAAGGATACTAGATTTTCAGGACCTTGGTACTTTGACCAGCACCTTGTGCCAAGCATTACTCAACACTCCTCTCAAATTCCAAATGCCCTCCACATTATCAGGCTGAACATTGTATGAGGAATCTACTGCCTTGCAGATGATTTCCACCTGACCTTTGTGATCTTTGGGAAGAGGAATAGTCCCCTCCCAGAATGTCCAAGCATATGTTTTGTACAGGGGCTGGTCTGTGGGAGATAACTCTGCAGAATGCCAGGTTTTCCCGCCGTCAGCAGACAAATCCACTCGTACAATTCCACGTCCCCCTCCACTCCAGGCGTAACCCTTTACAGTAACTTCTGTATCATCCTCCAGGATGGTCCCAGGCTCAGGTTCACAGATGGCAGACTGAACGGGTAGTTCATGGATAGCAGGCACAGTACTGCAACAGAGCAGAAACATTGGCATTTTAATATTTCTGAAAAATAGCTATATATGGAGTATGGTGATTTTCAGAGATCTTGATAATAATACCTAAAGTCCACATTATGCCAATCAATGGAAGCATGAAATCCTTTGTAATCTCTCTGCTGCCAGTGGCAGGTGCTCTCTTCATCACTTAATGTAATTTTGTTCAGCCACTTTACCTATTTTAATCACATAATAGATCCATAAGATGAAAAAGTCTGAAATACTGGGAGTGAAATTATGAGATTGTGTAATGAATCATATTTACCTGTCTGGCTCCAACAACCCCTGGAATAATAATTCGGACAGGATAACCATGATCTCTTGGAATGTCCTTGCCATTCATCTCATAGGCGACTATGATATCTTTCTTCAACCTCCTGGCCATATCAATAGGAATAGATGCACCATAATTGGATCCTGTAGGGTCTGAATCAGCTCCATCAAATATGATATGTTTAGCATTTACTGTATCAATGTCAATACCTGCTTTCTTTAAGACATCATCTAGACAAGCACCTGCCCAGTCTGCATTGCTTATGGCTGCAGATCCCCAGTTTAGACCTTTGACAGGTTTAATTTTCACCATCTCACTTCTGCGATTGCCTGCACACTGAACGACAGACACCACTGATTTTTTGTCAAATTTTCTTTTCAAGTCATTAAGACTCAGATTTATTGATTTTTTGGATCCAGCTATTGAAATTGTCAACTGGTACTTCTTTGGATCAATATCTGGTACTGGAAGATGGTTTCTAACAAAGAACAAATCATTTGGTGTGAGAAAACTGTACCTGAGTAGAGAAAGAGGAGGTTCTGCATTAAAGGGTTTCTTGGAACTCGGTTTTAATGCCATGTGCCTTTGTGGATCATTAGCATATGGATCTTTCCTATCAACTTTTTCCTCCTTTGGTTTTTCTGTAATGTTACCAATTCTCAATTCCTCCAGCATATCATAAATTTCATCCTGTTTGTGGGCTGCATACATCTCCCAGTAGGGCTCAATGGAGGAACCAGCAGCCAGTAAAATTCTAGACCCCCCTGGATGGTTTGACACATAATCTGTGATGTCATACACACCATTTTTGTACGTGACCTGTAGCAAATACAAATTAATGACTTAATCACCTTTTCATTACTAAGGCTTTTGATCATTTACCATCTATACAAGATTCCATGTACAAAAATTCCAAGAACTTTGAAGACCTTACCCAGATTCTATTTTCTTTTTTGTTGTGTTTGGCTACTTCATCTAAAGAGTAGGTAGGCAGTCCTGTCTTCAGTGCCCCTGCTGTTTGGCTTGTTGCAGCCTCTACTGCATGTCTTCTTTTTGACATAAGCCATATCACACTTCCTGTAAAATATGTCTTCCTCTTTTAATTCATTCATCAACTTGTGCCTGATACAGCTAGTTCATTATTGAACTTGCAGATGAAGTAATGGGGAAGGGGTTGTGTAAAAGCTTTTGTGTACACAGGTGGTGAAAAATCAAGTTTTTAACTGGGACTCTAACCCAGTATATCTGGCATACTATGCCAGCACTCTAAACATTGAGCTATTGAGACCTAATGTGTTAACGGATTCTTGCACACATGTTAATTTGGTGACATACATATGAGGGAAATACACTGCTTCTTTTGGGGAGTGGACAAAATTAATTCATGACTTTAAATCCAATTCTCTGACTCCAGATAAAGAATGAATGGAAATTGGTGCACTCATGCTTATCAATATAATGTTAGAAATGCATGGAGAGGTGTTTTTTTTTTTGTTTTTTTTTTTTGGTAGAATGCTTGAATCTCTATATATATGTACCTTGCTTTTTTTCTTTTGCCAAACAAGCTGTATCATACATACTAATCCTTTCAAAAATGTCCAGTTAATAATAAAGAAAATGTCATTTAGTGATAGTCACTATCACTTATGATTTATCTACTCATTCATGTATAATCTGCTTGCTTCAAGTTTTAAGTTTTCCAAAAGAAATTTTAAGTTGTAACTGAAATGCAAACATTTTCAGCATACTCTTCTGGGAAAAAATTGTCAAAATTTTTTACCTGCACAGCATTTCAAAGGAATGATAGTCATTAATCTGAGTGAGAGTTATCTCTCTTACCAGAGGGTCAATGAACCTTAACATAGAACTCTATTGCATATTGATGTCAAGGCTCTTGAGAACAATTTGTGCAAATTTGTTAAATAAATAATAAACATTGTAATTATGCTTTTTAAAAATCACGTTTCAAACGATATGCTACGAATAACATACCTGTGACACCTAATGCTACGCAAACTTTAACATTTGCAAACAATCGACTGCTGTCATGACTTTTTTCTCGATCACCGGAGCTGATACTTTGCGATGGTTTTGTTGATAATGTGCGACTCCATGCCCCCGTCTCACGTAGAATCTGAGTCCGCCCCTGCAGTCTGTTGACATTTATTCCCAGTTCATTCCATGACATTCCATACCTGAAAAAACTCACAGCCTTTTGCATTGCCCTTCTACGTAGTATTCCACCCTCGTAAACACACCGTGATCTAATTTCTCTACAGTGTGCGATCGGCAAACCTCGGGCGATTCCGCTTAGCAGGAGGCGCCCGAAGAGTTCCGAATAATTTTGTTTTATTGAGTCACGAGCCCAACTCAAAATATTTTAAATATTTCCCAATATGGACATCACGTTCACATTTTGTGTAAAGATAATGGGTAGTTTAATGGTAGTTCATAACCACTGTTTTATAGTCCTGATAAAAAATATTAACTGAAATTGTTTCTGGATAAAAGCGTTTCCCATAGAGGCCCGTTTTCCGAAAATAAAATAAATATTTTAAAGCTATATATGGCGTATCTGAGCTAAAAAAAATTATAAAAATACAAGACTGAATGTAGATAAACAAGATATATGTTACTTACATTCAGATTAAAATTTTCACCGATTTTGAACTTGATTAACCAGGCCCGTAGGAAGCAATTTCACTTTGGGGGGGAGGGGGGGCACAGCCATACATTTGCAGTTAAGGGGGCACTATCAACTACCAAATATTTCTTGACAAGCAAAAAAAAAGGTCATCAGACGTTTTATTAAGGGGGCACAAACATACCATATTTATGTTTTCTATAGTAATCTATATATCGGCAAAATTATTGTGGGGGGGGGGGGCACGGCCCTCCGTGCCCCTCCCCCCCCCCCGGGTTCCTACGGCCATGATAACCTTATGTTTCCATACTTAAATTGACTTTAAACTCTGTCTGTCGGTAAAAAAAATCGGTTATCGTTTTAAATTGCTAATACTTTTGAAACGTGATTGATTTAAATTGTGTATTTAGTAAATACTATTTACAGGAAAGTCCTATCTTTATATAAAGTAATAAAACAAATAGAAAGATCTTTTTTTTTATTTTAGGTAGTCTGCATTTATAACAAAATACGCCATATATTTAAACTAATTTTACTTCAGTAAAGGTCACATTAAAAGTTTTTTTTTTTTTTTAAAGAAATAATACTGTTTCAAAAGTCACGCCATACCTTTAGACGTTAATGTTTGAGAAATGCAAGCAATTGTTAAGACAGGCACGTGTAGCATTGTTTTTGAACGGTGCACCCAGAAAAAAGAAGACAAAAATGACATAACAACCGACCAGAAATAACTTTGGCTAGTAGAAAAAGGGGGGATGTCCAAACTCGAAAATCATATTTCGAGGGGGGAGGGTGTACAAAAAATATTAACAGAATGAATTTCATATATCAAAATCATATCTTCAATGACAAACTGAAATAAAATAAATAAATAAAACTTTAATTCACATATATATAGACAAATAAAAAGCAATAATATGCCTTACCTTTGATACCTCACAGTTCTAATTAAATATGTGGCACTTCAAATGTCACGTTCGATTTCATTATTACTTATTTTCAGGAATAGTACAGGTATATATTAACACTTTCATCTGCATTTCCGCCAATTTAAGGTCGCGTTCATTTATTCACTCAAATAAAAAGAAACATAAAGTATACTAAGACATGAACGTCTATACAGGAAATAGACATGGAAAAGCAGGATTATGTAAGGTATATATATCATAATGCCAACACATGTAAAAATAACTGCATAATTTGCTAATGCAGTTCAGAATTAACACAAATTATGCTTGTAATTACATGTATATAATATATGAAGTGACATTAGTTCATGTCTCTATAACCTTCATAGTAATAATAAACAACTTTAACTTTGAAGGGTTGTGTGTTTGATTTTTTTTTCCATTGATTGTTTTAAATTGGTACTATTTTTCTGCATTTAAAATATTTCTTATATTTGGTTCAAATCCATTAACTGCTTTTCTCACCCTAGTGAGTATCCATGCATTCATAATACAATCATGTACGTTAATATGCAACTCAAAAAGGTTGAGAATCATTATATATATATACATATATATATATATATATATATATATATATATATATATATATATATATATATATATATATATATATATATATATATATATATATATAGATATAGATATAGACATTTAATTTCAAAAAGATAAATATTATACGGAGAAAACATAAACCAAGTGCAGCTTGTTTACATATAAAGCCGCCCCCCCCCCCCCCAGTTCTCCTCACACCATCACGGTGCTCCCGCCATAGCGATCATGCTCTCTCATCGTAGCGTCTGCAAAACATTTCCAGGTATACACGCACTAAATGTGACTAATGCAGACAGGGTCAATTTGCTTTGGTTCCATTGCACATTTTGAAGGCACCAATTAAGACGTAGACGTTGGGTAATGGGTATGGAAACGCAGTATGAGACGAAAAAGTAACCGAATCCAATCAACAGGGAATAGGAAATTTCCGATTCATTGATAATTGTTTTTTCGACCGGTGTACAATTCTAGAGAAGCTGTAAGAAAAGGGAGACCAATATAATATGTGATCAAAAACTAAATGACGTTCTATACGTTCTATATATTGGACTGGGTCGTGTTGCTTTTTATAATGCTGGTAACCTGATGCATTTCTTTGATTTTTATTTTTCAAATCATTTACTTAATGTTTGTCTGTATTAAAATAAAAGTGTACACACTTGGCACTTCTTTTATTATAAAAGAAAAAAAAAACGAATTTCCGCAAATTTTTGACAGCCCTCGTATACCTAATAGAATGATGTGTTGTTGTAGCCATTCCCACAATACCCCGGTATTGTTTCATATGCTAGTAATTTCCTTTTTATCAGACATTGATCATGCACTTGACATGAACCTTTAAGCAAAGATACTTAATCATCTAATTTTTATCTTCCAATATTCATTGAATTCTAACATATTGATTATATTGTAATGTTGATCTCGAAGGGGAGATACATGTAATCGCATGACCCCCCTGATAAGAGGCAGATGTTCAAAACTAAACGCCCAATAATGAATAGTAAAACGATGGCATTACAACCGCACAACAAAACACTTATTTCAGGACTCTTAAACTTTTCTAAGAATTTTTAAGTTAAAAAAATACGGAAGAAATTACAGATACTGTGCGTATATTCATTTATTTTTTATCAGTTTATCGCCAACAAAAATGTTCCTGCAATCCTCTTTATTTCTTTTCATTGTGACAAGCGATGTGATTTGTGGATTTAAAATTAACAAACGAGAGTATATGGATCATAAAAGGAGTGGTTTCCTTGGTAACCAGTTTAGTGGCTCTAACAGAAATGGGGGCGGTGGTTCTTCGGCAGGTGTCGGGTTTCCGGCTAGTAATGAAGGACCGTTCAGTTCCAGTGGAAACCTCGTAAATTCAAACAGTGAAGGAGAATTCAGTGGCAGCAGAGGTGTTCCTTTTAATTCAAATGGGAATGGAGGAGGGGGATTTCCCGGTAGCAACTCAGGAAACGGTGGTATTCAAGGAGGGCGTGGTCCGTTTAATGGAAATGGCGGTTCGGGAGGTATTGGGGGCGGATCTGGTCCTTTTAACTCCAATGGAAATACGGGAGGGGGGTTTCCTAGTAGCAACTCAGGAAACGGTGGCATTCAAGGAGGGGGTGCATTCGGGAGCGGATCTGGTCCGTTTAATTCCAATGGAAATGGAGGAGGATTTCCCGGTAGCAACCCAGGGAATGGTGTCATTCAAGGAGGGGGTGGTCCATTTAATGCAAATGGAAATGGTGGATCAGGCAATATTGGGAGCGGATCTGGTCCATTTTCCACCGGAAATGGTAACAGCAATAATGGTGGGTCTATGAGTTCTGGAGGAGGAGCAAGTCCATTCAGTAATGCTGCTAATGGTGGGGGAAATGGAATGGGACCTGGACCATTTAGTGCAGCTGGTAATGGCGGTGGATCAGGTCCTTTCAATTCCAATGGAGGCAAAATGGCAAGTCCTTTTAGCGCAGCCGCCAAAGCAGGATCTGGTGAAACTCCATTCAAAATTTCCAACTCAGCGCTAGGTAATTTGTAACGATTTAGATAAGAGTAATTACTCGACAGAATGAAAATACTGTAACATTAGCTTTAGCCATACTCTAAAGAAATAGAACAACTAAAATAAATAGTTGCAACACAATTAATTCGTAACTTACAGGTGGAAAGTCCCCTTTTGGTACATCAACATTTCAAGGGGTTGATTTTGGAAGTATGGGCGGAGCATTGGCAACTAATAATGGTACCGTTATTGTTTACGTTAAACAACATGACCATTCGTCTCAAAAAGCGTGATATGATAACTTAACCGTAATAGAAAAATCTTGATCGATTGAAACAAAAACTCTCTAGGAAAATTATAAAAATTCAAAGCATTGCTTTCAAATCTATCTCTCAAAAGAATTCAAGGCAAATCAATCTAAATCTCAGAATTATGGCAATAATTCTATTATCTAGCTCAGTACGTGTATTATTGGTTTACATGTATGTAAATCAAAAACTGTATATAAGACATTCTTGTTTATCTAAAAAGTATCATAAAAAATAACCCTGAATTCATTATCTACCATCCCATCTTTTGCCAGCCGTAAGAAACCCAATGGACGCAAGTTCCTTTGTCGAGAATTCTGTAGGCCCCGGCGGCCTCACAGGATCGGCATTTGCTACAAACATCAATGCGGACGGGGGCCCAGGAGGGTTAACAGGTGGGTCATTCCATGTTGGAACAGATTCATCTGGACCAGGAGGGCTTACAGGCAAGTACTTCAGAATATTGAAAGTCAACCAGACTGACACCATCCTGAATTAATAGTGCTACTTTTGTATTTGATTCTTATTGAAGTAGAAAGCATTGTTTCAGGTGGAGGATTCCCTCAGACGGACAATTCCAACGGAGCTCTGTACATCAACACGGATTCAAGTCTAGGAGATGTACTTATCAATCATTTGAGTGTCAATGGGGTATTTTTGCTCTGAGTTATTTTCGGCCTCTTTGAAACCCAAAGCAGACTGGCTACTTTAGAATTACCGGTATTTGGTTTTTGTTGCAGTTATTTTGCCACCATATGTGAACCAAGGGTTTTCGATCCGCTTCCTTGTGACCCCCCCCCCCTTTTTAAATATTTCGGAAAACCTTGCCCGATTCCGTAGCTTTGACGTCGATGACGGAATCGACCGAGGATTTAAACGAAGAGAGCAAAAAGTTCCCCGTAACCAATAGACTGTGTGATAGACAAAAGCTAATTCTTAATAATGAAATTATCAATGTCACTTTTTTCACTCTAGAGACAATCAGCACGATTTGACACAGCCAAGTATGAACAAATGTTATCGCAGCTTTACAACCCAAACAATTACGACTCGCATCTTCTGGAGAAACCTTTCAACGGAAAAGAATACAGCAGTAATTCCAATTCCTTTGGATCTTATTCAAGCTCTGGGGTGAACTATATGAGCGGCCAAGCCGGCCATAGCTCAGCGGGTAAGACAGAAACGGATATTTCAGTAAAGTTAGAAATTACTGATTATTAGTAAGACAACAAAATTGTTACATTTTTTGAAAACCCATGCAGACACATGAAATTCATATCTATCGCAAATGACCATATACATCTATGGAAAACTTCAGCTGCATTGCCAAAGTCGTATATACACACAATACATGCAAAAAAAAATCCACATAAATTTTACACGAATTGAATACATAATTATACGTCTGTCCTTCTTGCTTTCTAGATGTCCATAGACCTCCTTATCTCTTTCGTGTCTTAGCCCTATATTTGTAATGCAAAAAACAGTCATAGTGCTGTACTTGACTGTCACGTCCTTTTAGACGAGGGCTTTGTCATGTTCATCAGCCAAGATATTTTGCATCTCGTAAGGTCTTATTAATACAGCTTTAAAGTGTAAAACTTATGTAGACCTACAACATTATGTTATCGTTATTTAATAAAAAAGCTCATGCTTGGCGCGGTGTCCATTGCCTGACTTGAGCCAAGGTCATTTGATTATTAAATACATGTAATATATTTTATTGTCTGGGGCAAGACTTTTGCATCGTTGAAATGATAAGGACCCATATGAACAAAAAAGAATGATCATGTCTTAAAGATTTTTTTTTGGGATCGAACTCAGTCTTTTGGGTAAGGCCGAAGGGAGAAGGTTCAAAAGTGTCAAAAAATTCCATCTGGGTCAAGTCTTTGGAAAAAAAGAAATCAGAGAAACTCTTACTAGTATTATCCGAAACTATTCTTCTTTGATTCATTAGTTGCCCTTGACCCGAGAATATGGCGAAGTTCATTCTTATCCCGGCCAATATTCTGTAATGCAGAATGTAGAGGCTTACTATTAATCTTGACACAAAGTTTGCTTATATATACTCAAAATAACCAACAGCAGGGTATCATCAGTCAGTTTCAATTACAATGTGAAAGCCATGGCCACAAAAATTGGTTATATAAATTTCATTTAAAATTACTGTTCTTATTTTTTCTTTTCAAAATTTGTCCCTCTTTGATTGTGTCTCCTGAGTTGTTCTGTTCGTACAGTTCTAGTTCATCAAGGAAATGAAAATACAGATCAATGCTGTATCGGAATAAAAAAAAAATATTGAAATATTTCAAATGGTTTTTTTAATCATCTACCTTTATAATAACGTATTTTCAAATTGAAATTTGAATATTGAAATAAATAAATGGAGGAAGGACCAACGCAATTTTATTTTTGGGTAATACTAACTACAATGAATATCAAAATGGTCAATGTTGACTAATTCAGAATGGTCAAGAGTTTCTTAGTTTGTATGGAATTTATGTCTTCCACCTGACTCTGTACGCAGGAGCATGTTCTGAGTACGATCAATCTTTAAACCGAGCCCGGCTACTGATAAAAATTGATGCAACAGAGCTTTCAACTACCTCATTAAAAGTCACCATTTCGCAAATTCTGTGGTCGTTATAATACACATCCTATCGCTGGGTCGTATTTTGACTTGACATGTTTCCACCAATTGTTAGGCCATTGTTTTATACCAATTTTGCATATGGATTATTTCGTTTACTTAATCAACGAAGAGAGCCCACGACGGGTGTGACCGGTCAACATGGAATGCTTACTCCTCCTAGGCACATGATCCCACCTCTGGTGTCTCCAGGTGGTCTGTGTTTTGCCCTGTTCACGATTCGTATTCTTTCCTGGATTTATGAGATTGATCACGGTTATCTTTACGTTTTTCATTAACAGTCATCCCTTCGATCTACTTTATTTCAGGCTCCATCTCTGGTGGAAAACAGACGGACGAGCCGGGTCCATTTGACACTCGACCATTCAAACAAGTCCAAAGTCCGTTCAGTGCTCACACTGAAACTCAGTATAAAGGTACTAACTATCACGTAGATGCTGCCTCCTCTTTAGGCGGACAAAACTTTGCAGCTGTTGGTTATTCAGGTATAGTTTCCAATGAACATCATGAGTTTCCTATTGCACCTTCAAGCCTCAATCAAAAGCAATCATTTTAATCAAATTGTGGGTGAATATTGTGTATATAGAGAAAACGTGCATTAAAATTTAGGAAATTTTGTAGGGGGAACCTATAATATAGATTCCAGTGCAACTAGCCCGTACAACGCTGGAAACGCGGCAAGTTATGTCAGGGGCAACGGAGATGGCAGTGCAACAGGTTACGAGACTCCTTTTGACAAACACGTGGATAATTATAATGAGCTCATATCCAATCCTTTTAACTCAAATGTAAGTACCCTTATAATTTATTAAGAATTCTCAGAAATTTAAGGTGGTGATGCCACTAAATAAATAAAAGTAAATTGGATAAAATCCAATAGAAGATATTAATGCATACTTCATAGCAGAAAAATTGATTGTGATTCATAGATGAAACCAGATCCAGGAAGTGATTATAGTCACGGCTCCTTCGGAACTCCTTTTGAATCTCACAGTAACAGTGGAGGAATGGGAAGTGAAAATCCGGGAGGAAACCCATTCCGCCAAGGAGGAAACAAAGCTGGGATTTCTATGACATATAACAACCGACCCTTTAGCGGCATGTTATTGTGATCTTTCTTGTTTCCATATTTTTAGCAATATTTTAGAAATACAATTCTTTGAAAATACGTAAAATGTCATGCATTTGCCAAAAAAAGGAGGAAAAGTTTTAACTGCTTTATACTAGGAAGAGTTTGATTTGCGTGCGCACTTTTACCAAATATTCTAGTCAAATTTTTTATTGTTTTATTTGACCTAATACATTATGGTAGGTCTGTCCTAATTCATTTCATAAACGTGTATGTGTATTTTGTTATTTAGGGTGAAAATGACATCCCACAAGAGCAATCAACACCTGAAGTTATTTTTATCCGGAATAGTCCTTAACGTGTATTAGAATAAATAGTTTCGATAAAACGATTTCTTGAGTACTTCTTTCCTCATACATATTGGCATACTGGAGAAAGTAATGGTACATGTATTTTAATATTGCACAATGAGTTCATTTTTACCTCTTCTGGTCAAAGATTTGAAGAGCTTATGCGATTTTAAGGTGTCCGACGTCCTTCTGTTTGTTAACAATTTTTTCGAAGCTCTACTTCTCCTACAGTTTTGGTCCAATTTCAATGAAACTTTGTACAGAAAAAGACTACCCTAAAATGCCCTAAGATTAATAATTCTGTATATTGGTTTTTGATTTCCACGAACAGTATTTGCACGGTTACTAAACATAGAAATTTCTGTGAAATTCTTTCAAACGATTCTCTCCTACAGTTCGGTTCTTGAATTCCACGAACAGTGTAGGTATGGTTACTAAAAATAGAAATTTCTATGAAATTCTTTCAAACTCCCCATGCTGAATGCCGCTACCTGTTATGAGCTATGTGTTGTAGTGGTCAGCGTGTCAGTATCTAAGAAAGAAAACGGATACTCAGGAGTTTTTATTGCTTGGGTCAAAATTCCTTAACTTTTTTTTTACCATAGAATAATTTTTTCCGAGAGAAATTCTCCGCAGAAAAGTTTTGTGTCATAATTTCATACCTCTGTCTTCCACTAATTATCACTTTTCAATTGCCAGTGAGTACATGACTAATTATACTCAATGGCAATTGAAAATTGTTAATTAGTGAAAGACACCTTTCAATAATAAGAACTTTTCTCAAAATACTTAGTAAACAAACTGCATTTGATTTCATACATATAAAACTATAGGCATTTTTCTCCCTTACGCCAAGTTTTTTCACAGTGTAACGTTGTTGGTTGTCGAAAGTTAATAATCATATTGATTTTGTTACTTCTTTAAAAATTGATTCCTATATAAATCTATACTAAAAAAAATCTAACATTTCCAATGTTTTTTGAGCGCGGGTCCAAAAAAAGTTGGAACGCTGAGTTGGATATTGGACCTGTCGATAAGATACAAGACCGCTTTGACGTTTATTACGTCACAATGTAGGAGAGATCAGCTATCGCAAACATTGAAGCCAGCGCAAGATATGTCAAAATAAAAAGTAAAAGGTATAATGAAACATTTACTGACTGTGTTCTCTGGCAAAATGAGTTTTGTCAACCCCACGAACCAAACTGTTTGGTCTTGGGTCCGACATAACGCATGTTGCCCTCGAACCCAGTCAATAAATATATATTCAAATATGTTTCCAAAGTTTCTATCATTGGTCTTATGATAATGGGACATAAATCATTTCACTAAAAAAACAATTTTAAAGTAGATTTTCCAGGCAAGCGTCTTTTACTTGCTGGCGTATTTTAGTATGACCCAAACGTGCCTGTTTTGAAACGGTGGCATTTCAAGGCCAAAGAGCTGTTTGGGACCGTTGAAAGGTAAATGATGTAACAAGGGTTGGAGTAAAATATGCTGTTAAGTAGCGGATACAATGCAGTATGCTTTATAATGCTAGAAATAATTCCCGACTGAAGCTTGCGGCAAGAAAGTGTCGCCGTAAATCGAAGGTTTTTAAAATGGATGGATCTGAAGCTCTCTGGTATGTCTGTCCGAATTTTCTTGTACAGAGATCTTAGTTCTGCAGCTATCTGTTTGGCTCTGGAAATCGACCAAATGGCTGGGGAAAATGATGAAAAGATATGTATGAATTATCGAGATATTATTTCTAGAAGTATAACCCTTATTTCTTTTCGATAATAACTGGTATTTTAAAATATCCAATCTGGTATAAAAGGAACTGGCATGAATTTTTTAAATTACATGCAAATATTTGGATACGTTAACATTTAATATTGTGACAAACTGAAAATTTCCAGGTAACAAAGAAAGAAAAGTCATTTTACAATATTTTTGATGAATTTTAAACTCTCATAATAATCAGTCTGAAAGTGCAGTTTTCCAAAATATTCATCCCTCGTTCTATTAAAATGTAACTCCTCTAAACACCTTAACGTATAAGGTTGATTGTTTACATAAAATTTGTTGGCAAATAACTCAGGCCGCCTCGCCAGAAGAGGAAGATCGGTTATTCCGAGGATGCAGACGTCGGTCACGTATTCCCCTCCACATGGGAATTCAGTACCATACCAGTTGACAAATCGGGTCAGAAACGGTTTGAGGAGTGGGTCTTTTTGCGGTTTTCCTGAAAAAAAAAGACAAACGTTAAATAAGAAAATTATAGAATGCGCTTGCTCCACAAAAATTCACCAAAAGATATGGACACAAAATTGCATAAACAAAATTTAATGGCAGAAATCCTCAAGAAATTATATTAACTTTACATATACATAATCATAACTGGAAATATATAAATATACCACTAATTTCAATTTGAAAAATTTATGACTTAAATAGTGTCAAATAGAACTTTTAATCCTCGGAGAAGATGATAATCTTTGAATTCAGACTAATAGGTATTTTACATTTAAGTGATGTTTTAATACATGTATTGTTGATTATTACATTTTCAACAGTGAAATACTGTGATTTATTTATTGAATAAAAGTGATATTCTCTCACAGTGTGAAAGGATATCAAAGTAAGTAAAAAATAATTTTTGGCCTGTCATAAGACAGAGATAGTAACTAAGCATCTTGATAGAGCTAAAACTGCAAATTTCTTCCCAAATATGTTGCTAAAAGCCATGCTATGTAAAGTTTTGAATCTCAGAACTGATAACCTGTGATGTCTCAACCGCTTGACTATGACGTCAAGCTATGACACTGTGTTAAGAAAAGACAGAGGCAAAGAGAAAATCAAAAAAAAAATGTAATAAACAGAAAATTCAATGTTTTGTAGATGAATATCAATCTGATTAAAATCAGATCCTTTGATCCGCTCACAAAGATCGCTACACAAGCTGTAGCGATCTATGTGAGCGGATCAAAGGATCTGATTTTAATCAGATTGGATGAATATGGAATTTATTTCACTCGTGAGACAGGATTTTTTGATATTTTCACTCGTGCTTGCACTCGTGAAAATATAAAAAAAAATCCTGTCCCACTCGTGAAATAAATTCCATATTCATCTACAAAATATTGAATATCCTCTATTTACTTTATGTCGTTATAAATAAATATTTACATTTGCAAATGTTTTCTTTTATATAACACTATTGAAAGCAATGCGTATCTATATCCGTATAAACACGGGTTCCTCGCGTCATAAACGTTCGACGTAATTTTTCAGTGACGTCATAAAGGGTCGACGCGCAATCAGAGGATCAAACACGTGCCGTTGGGTTTGAAAAATAAAACGCTTCACGCGTTAAAGATTATAATCAGGCAAATATAAAATATGAATAAGTCACAAATGTAAATATAAGTAATAAGGTATCATTTTTAAACATCTATCGGGCTATAAATACGGGTTGGTACGAGATCAAATTTACCATAAAGCCCTTCGGGCTTTATGGAATTTGATCTCGTGACCAACCCGTATTTATATCCCGATAGATGTTTAAAAATGATACCTTATTTCTTAAATGAACCTGTAAGGCTTGCAAAAGAAAAACCTTCGTAAAGAATAAATGGATAAGCAAAAGTGAAAATGTATTGCATCTTACAACAAAATATATTAATAAAAATTAGTAAAAAAAAAAAAAAAAAAAAAAAGGATATTAGTAACGTTGATCTAAATACTGGAAGAGGACTTTTATATATAAATATACATGAACTTATGCGAATCTTTTTCCTTTAATTAATATCTTAAAATTTAATGTATCCATCAAAACTAGCCTTTATAAATTATAAACAAAGTTCAACTATCATAAAAATACTCTTAACATGCCATATAATAATATTTTTTGTTGAAGAAAAAAAATCCCTCTTAGTGCAAGTTGTTTTATTTGCTAGGAAAACGACAACATCATCTGTTTTTCAAACAATAAAATTTAAAATAAAATCCATTCATTGGGAGAATAATTTTTGTAGAAATTTATGGAGTTTTGACAACATATGTTTTCCAGAACCAAAATTAAGATTCAATATTACATTTATTTAGGCACTCTTGTGATACATTTTTGCGAAAGGAAATTTGCTAACAGTGTTAATTGTTTAGCGAATTAAGATAAAATTAACATCTATAAAATAATTTTATGTGTAGCAAAGCTTCACATATATACTTAAGGTTCATCGACCCATTGATAAGAGAGGTAACTCTCAATGGGACATACAGTGTATGACTGTCATTCCTTTAGAAAATTGTCGATTTAAAGGCCATTTCTGTCACATTTGGCTCGCACGGCACTACAACATAGTATGATGAAACTGTGTGTATTTTAAGGATCCTCCTCTATACATAAAAGGGATTTTTTTTTTTGACATTTAGAAAATTATATGGTGTAGAGGTGTAAATATTGAGCTTATCCTTTTAATTTTCAACACAGGGTTCCACCCTTTCTACCTCCCGGAAAAGTATTCAATAACAACGAAGTATTGATGCACAGAAATCACTGTTATTCACTTAAGTGTGGAAATTAAATATAACTTACATGTAAGTGCTAAATCTATTTATCTTGGCCTATTAGAATGTTAAGAATGTTTTAATTCATTACAAAATGAGCAATACACTGTAAATTTCAATTTATTTAAGATCGAAGGGTAGATAACTTTATCTGCATAAAAATACCTCTTTACTGTGCAGTGTAAAAAGGGTTCTCAAGAATGAATTAGATTTCTGGAAAAATCAGAAGCTCTTTATGGGTGAACAAGAGGGGCAACTTTTCAATTCATTTCGAAGGACTAATTATAAATGACATATACTTTTGCCGCTTACCCTTGTAACTTCCGGGGATTCCTAGCTGAGGGTTGTGGTTCAGTGAAGAAAAGAACGTTTCATCCGGCAGTTCTGTATTTCTTACCCACTTTAAAAAATCGAAGGCCACTCTACTCTTGATCACATACTGTACATACTCCCTACTAGCTGTGATTAGCACTGATCCTTTAACGAGGCGAATCTGATGAGGCGGCCATCCTGCCGAGGCCCACCGAAATATTTTCGTTCTAAAATGTCAAAAAAAATCATATGCTTCTTTTTGGATTTTTTTTATTTATCAGTAAGCCATTTCAATTTATTTTTCATTTCTGTTTTAAGAGAGATAACTCATTGTTACTTGAAATATCTTTTTCCCTTAAAAAAGAATTATGGGCAGATGAAAGGGTAGAAAAAAATTTACTGAAAAACGAACAATAATTTACAAAAACATACTGAAATACAAAACAAAGAGCTTTAAAAAATAAAACCAACAGGCTCAATTGCAAAATCAAAAAACTCCTTTGGCAATACGAACGATCACCGATGCAAGACCAAATGTCATTAACTAAATTCACGCTAGATGGCGCGAGAGTCTGTAAATTATGGAACGCCAAAGGGTTCAACTCTGTTATTTCTTAAACACATGTAAAAATATGTAAAGCTTAATTTGTAGATTGTAAATGTGTAATTTTCAAATTGTACTTTCACAACTTGTTTATTTTACATATCGTGTGCAAAATGTAAAAGAAAACTATGTCAATGCACAACTATTTTTTTCTCTTTCAATAAACGATTGTGCTGCTGTATGATATTGCATGTAAACTTGTCTGATATGTTTTCAATGTTTTAAACAATTTTTAAAGCACATCAATGTTTTTTCTCGAAATACGAAAGGGATTAATGTCTTCAATTTTTAATCCGATACAATTGCAAATAATAAATATTTAACTTTATCAATTTTGACTTGATTGAAGTGACTTTTTCCAAATAAAAAATGCATTCCGCAACAGGTACTATTGAACAAAAGTTTTGTTGTTGTTGTTGTTGTTGTTTTTACTAAATACTATACACAATAAGATAGATTCACTCGGGCCATCTTTAAAAATATGTTTGCTTGGTCTCTCCCGACTGAGGATAAAAAATTGGGTAGGCAGGTAAGGACAATTTTTTTAATTCAAAAACACCTGCAAATTTGAAGTTTAAATAGATATTAATGAATAAAAATGTAATTGTTTCCTGGAAGTCAAAAAAAAGTTTTGAGTCGGGTCGTTTTTAGTCAGTCGGTCGGGAGAGGGCAACCATGCAAACATTTTTTTTTTAAAGATGGCCTCATTGTGAAATTCTTTTTTTCACCTCAGTGTCTACAGATTAAACACTTTTAAAAAGAAAAAAAATACCTTGACACTTATTAGAAACATTAGCAGGGTACAATGAGAGCTCACTTGAAGTAGAGCAGGAGAACCTACCTGTCAATCGTACCCTCTATATCATTAAATCCGTTGTATATCTTTAATATCTTTACCAGCTCATGGTTGGTTCGGAGAGGAAATTCTTGGCCTGTTAAATTAATAAAATACTTCCATTTTCCTTGCTTCAACAAGTCTATCATACAAGTTATCTGTGACAGCAAAACACCCATTTCCCCCCAATTCACGACCACTCTCTGAGACGACAGGAAAACATTTGGGAAACAATTTACTATACTCGCAAACTCTTGATAGACATTTTCACTTGTTTTCCTATCTACGTGGACACAGTAAAAATTTTGAGGACGGTATATAGCTCTCAAAAGAATTTCGAATTGTTCTGGGTTTTTGTACACCATAATACCATAGGCAATAGGAAAATTTTTCTCCTCTTCCGACAGCGAGTCCATTATATATCCTCTATTATCTATGAATTTGTTACAATTCTTCGTTTGAGAAATGATACGCTGTCTGAGTCTTTCTTCGTTCAGGTTCGAATTCCTAGCTTTCAGAATTTCTTTTTCACTTCCTTCAAATAACAACCTGCAATTTACCTCCTGGACATTGCGATTGTTTTGATGTCTACGGCTTTCTTTTTCCTGCAACTTCCCCAAATCTGTCAAAGTGTATAAAGGAGAAAAAGAAACGAACGTTGTATTATATCCATAATCAAACTTTTCCAGCATTTCTCGCATCTTGGCGTCGTTTCTTGATTTTTCCACTTCAAAGTCGTGTATTATTTCATTCGAAATATGCGTTATGTTTTTCATTTCCAGCACAAATAAAAAATCCTTTGCGTTCCCAGACTTCCCTGAAATAGTCAGAGTGCCGTTGTGGTTGTAGGTTATGTTCGTCGCTATGAATTTCCAGAGTACTTGCTGTGGATTTGTAGAAAAGCCAGCAGATGTGCAGATAAGAAGGAGGACGATCGCCGAACAAAACATAAAAACCAAGAAAAAGGCCACTTTAAGTCGAATCAACGTTTTCATCTCGACTTTGGATTCCAGAGGACCACTTGTGCAGCAATCCTGACACCTGTAGGGTCCATTTTCTATTCACCGATGCCCGATTCGGACTGTGATTTTAGACTATAGAAATGTACCTTGTTTATCAATGGGCAAAAATACCAAAATATAGTTTAAAAGCAAATCTTATGGGAAAATAAACATTCTTATAAATATATTTCCAACTGTGTACTTTAAAGGCAAAGTGAACTGAACAGTTTTTATTTTTTCATAACATGATATTTTTCGTGGCATCTTTTTATCAAGAAACACTGACAAAGTGATGTTGTCCTAAAGAAATGTGTGCTCAACACGATCTGGTTGATTGCGCCATTTGTCGCCATTTACATTCTTCTTTAATAGTGTATTCAACTATTATTCATAGTCAGTTTTGTATTTTATAATTAAATGTCATTAATTTTCCGGATTTCCACATCTTTCTATAGGCCTCAGACTATCGTTCCATCAAAGAGCTTTTTTTTGCCTAAAAATATATTCTTCATAACCCCGCTTTTACAGAACAGTGACTGTCTTATAAAAGCGGATTTTAACATCTTCCATTAAATAAATAATTTTCTTATCCACTGGAATGCTTCACCGGATATCAATCAACCTGCCTCTGGCCGTTATTCAATTTAGATTGCTTTTGTTAGATTGCTTACAAATTGTGTTCTTATTTGGTGCTGTTTTTCTCAAATTTTAGTTTAAAAGACGGTACATGTAGTTAAAATATATATGCATGCGAAAAAGAAATTATCTGCATGAAGGAAGATATCTAATTTTTTTTTCCATGTTTGACGTTTTATAAAATTGATTAAAAGAGGGTGCTTTAAAACATTTATATTTATGTTGATTAATATTGTTGTTGTTCTGATCAGAAAACTAAACCTACCAAAGGTGGACAGTTCTTGACATGTATTACAAAACTCCCTTTTAAGCTGCCAGATGGACCCATGGCAGGGGTCTCAATTTTTTTAAGCCCCCGAAATCAAAGATAGGGGATCATAATAATTTTTGTCTGTCTTTTTGTCCCTACGTCCACAAGACCACAATTTCTGTCTGCGTAAACTGTTGAAGTAAACAAACTTCATACTTGGCACCTGGAAGGATTGTTCTGACCTTCACCTAAAATTATCTGGACAAATGGGTTTTAGTTCTTCCGTTTTGGCCAAGGTTACGGGGGGGTGGGGGCATAAATCTCGTACTTTGCAAAGAAGAAACATTAAAAGCTCGTACTTTGCACAAAGTAAAATTATGTCAAGAAGTATACTGACCTTAACTAGGGTCAACTGGCAAAGGACACCAAAATAGAAAGTGAAAAATTCTTGCCCAGTCCATTTATTTGCTATACAGAAACATACAGAAAATGATACTTGTACAAAGGTATATTACAAATAACAATGTGTCGTCACCTGGTCCAAGGTCATTTGAGCCCCCATTTCATCTGGGCTACGCATACTCGGAGGCATTTACGTTTCAAAAATATATTTTGTTTTTCTTCACTACAATTGGAACTTCTGAAAATATTAACATTTCCTTTTTCATTCAGTCAAATATTCTATACGCGGTTCCAAATTATTATGTAATAGCCAGTATTTTCTTATTAAAAATGTCTATATGTAACAATTTCTTATACACGAGGGGTGATCAAAAAGTCAGAATGAAATTTGGCACACATATTCTGTAAAAAGCACTCAAAGCAGGTGTCATATAATGTTTTGCTCCGTGTTTGTGACGTCACAATGTAAAAATGACGTCAATATATAGGTCACTTATGACAAAAAATGGTGGGCTAAGTCTAATCTCAGCGAGATCCGTAGAGAATAAAAATTTTGGTCTGGTATTTCTACGGATCTCAGACCAGTATCACATAATCTCATTCGGGGTTTCGTGCCCGGACTTCGACCGCTTGTTTCGATTAACACGGGCTGAAATGAATTAGCTGTCCACTTCAACTTTTTGCTTTGGACATCCTTTTAATTCCCTATCACCATAAAACTTTCGTTTCTTACCTCTGAAAGGTTTAAATCCATCAAAATATAAAGTTGTTGATTTTTCATAGCAATAAGCTATTTGTTTAAACCTCCGATGCTGAAGAGTTAAAGCAATAGTCTGCTTCAAATACTTCGTACTACTAATTTTTCCTACAGAAATGAACCGTAGTACGAAGTATTTGAAGCAGACTATTGCTTATTGAAGCGGACAGCTAATTCATTTCAGCCCGTATTAATCGAAACAAGCGGTCGAAGTCCGGGCACGAAACCCCGAATGAGATTATGTGATACTGGTCTGAGATCCGTAGAAATACCAGACCAAAATTTTTATTCTCTACGGATCTCGCTGAGATTAGGCTAAGTCGTACTCGAGCAACGAACGGCTGTAAAGTTTAACGTATATCTTGGAAATTTCTTTGCAGTAGAATATGATATTTTGTACAAGGTTTATGAAGACAAAAGATATACCAGAAGTTCAATCATTAATTGGATTGATTGTTTTAGTGAAGGCAAGGAGATGGTTAAAAATGGTGTTTGTTCTGTTGCCCAGCGAAAGCAAGCCGGGGAAAAGATGTGTCCTTAGTTGAGCAATATGTTGTGAAAGATCGCCAAGTTACAATTAGAAAAATAGTTGAATATCTTAACAATAATATAATTATTAAATCCCTAAAATATCGTTTACTTTAGACTTTAAACATATGGGATATGATAAAAAAGAGGTTGTCCATACTTTATCCACACTGGATAAACGACGCTCCCGAGACAGAGAACTCGGGTTTTAATGATCACCATGCTAATTCTGAGAAGGGATGTCCTTATCCACCCATCCTACTACCGAGATTTGGCCATTTCTGACAGATGGACTGTTCTTGTTATTAAAAAAAACTTGCATGTTAAGAAATATAAGACTCGGAAAAATCTTTTAGTTCTGTGAACAGAACGCCACGGAGCATGTCACGTGACCGCCTGGATCACGTGATTCGCGCATGGGCAGAACAATGGCAGATGTGCATTATAATCGGAGAGGACTAATTTTAAAAAATAATGAGCACTGAAACGTCATTTTATTCTCTTTTAAGTTAGTAATTCAATTAGTACGCGAACTTTTTGATCACCCCTCGTATATCTAATTATTTCCTAAGATATTACACCTAAAAATAATTGACATAAACAGCTTGGGGAAGTGTATTTAGGATATATATAAAACCAAAAAGGCAGATAAGGCGTTTCCATACAAGTTTAATTTTACACTACGTGTTTGATAAACTCCAAATTTTCATAATAATCTATTTGAAATTCCAGCTGTTGTTGGTACTCGTCTCTTGTTCTGTTGTAATGTAGCTCTTCCATGCACTGCAGGGCGTAAGTCTGATAGTACAGGTAAAATTTATTGGCAAAGAATTCTGGTCTTCGTGCTAGCAGAGAAAGATCACCGATTCCGAAGATACAAATCTGCCTTACACGACGTCCATGGCATGGCCAGTTGAAGACCCCTGTGCCCCAGTTCTTAAATCGCGTAAGAAAGGGCTTATCAAATCGATCTGTTTCTGGTTCGCCTGTTAAAAAAAATAAGATAACAGTGTGACAAAACCTGTTGTTATATATGATTGAATATAATGCCTAGCCCTCTGATTGGATATCCAATATCGTAGAAATCATACAAAGATATGTTCACCTGCATGAGACCTTCCAGATGAACATTAATACAAGTTTTTTTTCCTACATTGGACCAAATATAGTCTAGATCGAGAATTCATACGTCAACATACTATTCTACAAATACCCAGTATAATAGATGCTAGAATTATGCTTTTTTTGTTACAAAGCAACAAGTTCCAGGAATCACGAATTTTGGGAGGCATTTGAGAGAGAGAGAGAGATAGGGAGTTGAATGTCGGTATTGCAGAGATTCACTATAAAGCAAGACTTCCATGTGGATGTCTCACTACTCTACAACACCGGAAGTTCTCTGTCCACGTAAACAATTAATACCTTTGTAACTTCCGGGGATTTGTAAATGAGGGTTGTGGTTTAGAGAAGCAAAGAAAGTCTCGTCTGGCACTGCAACTCTCATTGTCCAGTTTAAGAAATCTTTTGCAACAGGATTGTTTACGACGTATTCCACAAACTTTCTGTTGACAGTGATGTGCACCGATCCCTTGACAGGTCGAATCTGGTTAGGAGGTGTTCCTGCAGCTAACCAGCGAACTTTGTTGGCTCTGTAAAAAAAAATCTTTATTTCTAAAAGTTAACCGGAAAATTTGGTTTCTCATTATTATCTATTGGAAAGAAAGCCTTCCTGTATGAAATAAATCCTTGTTTTTTGGTTAAAACAGAGGCATTCATTAAAATATATATCCCTTCTGCAACTTGTTGCGCGAGGGAATAAAAAAAAAATTCATCAAAAGCATTAAATACAGAGTATAATGTAGAATGTAACAAGTCAGTCAAAATCCGACACATCGATAGGTTCAACTTGAAAAACAATGCCATTTTAACTACAATAGAATTTACGAAATGCTAACTTTAGAGACATTTACATGTAGCATCACTTTTCTGTCAGTAGCCTGATTGATTTATAAAATGTTCGTACACGAGCACAATCTAGATCTCTTGCGTACACAGAATCGGTTATCGACCGAAAAGCTGAAATCACCACTTTTCATTTATTTCAGTTTATAACGTCTACACTCATTTAAAAAAATTCCAAATATGAATCAACTTCTGTCTAACAGTGTGGTGTCTTGTATTTCGAGTTTACGTTTCTATATCGAGTCGACATACAAATGAAATTGAATGTTGTAAAATTGATAACACGATGAAAATTGAATTGGGAATTTAGGTCACAGCAATTTTTTTTTCCTTTATAAGAGGTATTTGAAGAAATTCTGCTTCATTTTTTTGAAGAAACAGATTATTTAAACAAAACAGTACATCATTTACTTGTTTGTTTTTTTTAATTTCTTTTTTAGCTGTCATAATTATTGTAATTGAATAAAATATTTATTTACTTCAAAAGTGCAGTTTTTGTCTGGTATAAACTAAACATACATGTATTATAAACTTACAGGCCCGTAGAACGCGGGGGGAGGGGGGGCTCCCCCCCCCCCACTTTTTTCTGAGTATAGTATTTTGCTATAGTAAATTTCCCTAGAGATGCTGGTCCCCCCCCCCCCCCACACACACACACACAGTTTTTTGATGTTGTAAGGTCGACTACTGGCAAATTCTAGGATTTGTACAGTAAATTAGCTTCTTTTTTTTTTTTTTTTTTTTTTTGCTTGTCAGGATTTTTGGGAAGTTCCCCCCCCCCTTTTGAAACCGTTGCTACGGGCCTGACTTATGAACCATCAACTCGAGATACACGACTCTGATAATCTTTCTCTCAGACTTTCATAAATCATAAAACTAGTAGTCCGGTTGTAGAAGCTATCACTTAAGTGATTACTGTAAACTGAGAGTGTTCCGCACGCACTAAATTTAAGTGCCTTTGTCGCAGTGGCACTTGTGGTTTAAATAATATATCTATATTACACGTTCGGGACGTATTAGAAGTTTATACCCTGTAAATGTACTGCTATTGTTCATTTAACACTTATTTATAACATTTATTGAATTACTTTCTAGGAAACTTGTGATTCTGCAGTACATATGAGATTATTGTAGACTGTGCATTCCATTAGCATAGCTTTGACACTTCTTTGTCTGCGTCACACTATTTTTTTTTCTTTTTTGCAGACTCAGCGTCACTGTCGGGAATTCTGGGAGGTACATGTATCCTTTAATTATAATTTTATGGGGGTCTTTTTGATTAGATTTCTTGATCTTAAGATGAGGAGGTCTTGGCCAAAAATATAGAAATGAGAGCACTGCGAAACAATCCCCCGAATTCCTCTATAGTTTGCTCAACTTAACAAAAATTAAAAGATATGTTTTTGTTTCTACTAAGGACTATTAATTTTATTTAAAGCATGTAATTCACTTTTATAGATTTTTAAAACGCATTTTTAATAAACTTACGCATCTTAAAAATAAACATGGCTTTTTGCATGCATTTAACAATTTAGTTCCAGAGTTTGAAAATTAAAAAAAGTCAATATTTATAGTCTGTGCGTTCCATTTATTCCCGCGTAACTTTGGAACTGAATCGTGGGGTGGACATCTGTAACACTCGTTTACCTTTAAGCCAACTTAGGGAACAAGATTTTGTTAATATTTATTTGATAATTTATCAAATATTGTATTTATCTGCGGTATCTTTAAATAAATAACAGTATCTAAGCCAACGATATTTATTTTTCAATGAAACATACTGTATTCCAATTAGGAATGAAATATGTGGAGATAACGAACAGTATTCGGGCTCAAAAGTCCATTAAACATGAAAAAATAGAAGCAGAGCAAACACGGACCTCTAAGACATCAGAGGTGGGATCAGGTGCCATGGAGGATTGAGCATCCCCTGCCAACCGGTCACACCCGCCGTTTGCTCCTTGTCATGATTGGGAAATAACGGAAAAATCCGTCGACAATTCAGTGTGTAAATAATGGCCTAACAATTAGTATGAAAAAAGTCAGTCAGCATTTGACTTAATGAAAGATTTATTTGCTGACAAGGTCATTGTATCGACCATAGAACTTACGAAATGATGACTTTAAACGAGACTGCTGATATTCTTGTTTCATCAACTTGTTTGTCAATAACTTACCTCGTTTTAGAAATTGTTCATACGTAGAGCATGCTCTGGCGTATCGAATCAACTGAGAGATATAAACCCCGTATGCAGGTGATAAGGGTATATTACTGCATAAGTAAGGGAAGTTGACGATTGAAAAGTTAAAGTCATCACGTTTATCATAAAGCTTTGTTGTTAGATTACCATTAACGTCATTTTCTAATAAAATATCCAAATATGAAACAGATGTGTCACAACCAATCCTATTGCTATTCCTTTTTTTGTACAAAAATGTCGCCTTACCAAAAATTCTTTTTTGCTTTTATACTTTTTTTCATTTTTTTTTTCATCATGATTTTCAAAGCTTAAGCCAAATGGGAACATACCAGTAATTTGCTGAATATTATTGTTATTGTTTTTGTAGAGTTTTACCTTAAAGTGCCTTGTCCAGTACATTTTTAACATAAAACTTATAAATTCCTAAATAACCCAAATATGTTTTCAATTTTTATCAGTTTTGACTGAGATTAGGGGATTAGGAGATGATTACTTTTCCTGGGCACCTGATCTCTCCTCTGGTCTTTATAGGTTTAGCTGTGTTTTTGCACTGCTCATGTTTCATATTGTTTACAGAATTTATGAGATTGGCTACAATTCGTTATCTTCACTTTTTTTCATTATGTCAGTTTTTATCTTTACGATTCTACATTCTACAACATGCAATTGTTCTCTTCGAAATAAATTATGAAACATTCTGCATGACTTTTTATACAAGGGTGAGAGGACCAGAGATAGGAGTGAAAAAGAATGCGTTGATGCGTCCAAAACCAGAACCATAAAACTTTATTTGAGATAGGTCACTTGTACATGTAATTACAGGTATACGTATACACGTAATCAGTTTTTAAAGAATCGTTTGCAAGTCTTGAGTTGAAAGATTCTGAGCACTACGTGTATATGGAAAGCAATGCCAATGTGCAAGTTCTATTAATTGTACATGTACTGGTAGTCTTTTGGTATTAAAGTATTAAATTTGTATTGTTTTTTTTAAACTGCTGGCAAGAAATTTTCACCAAATATGATTTAAGTTAATTATTTTTCTTTCTTACCTTTTAATTGTTGACTCAAGATCATTCGCACCATTGTAGATTTTAAGTATCTTCACTATTTCATAATTTGTACGGAGAGGAAATTCCTGACCTGTTAGATTAATAAAATACTTCCACTTTTTATATTTTAACAAATCCTCCATACAAACTAATTCTTGGGTCAACACACTCATATACCCCCAATTTACTAATATCCTCCTGGAAGCTAAAAATGCATTTGGAAAACATTTAATAATGCTTGCAAATTCCTCAAAAATACTGTAGGGAGTTTTTTTGTCCACATGTAGACAATACACATTCTGGGGGCGGTATATAGCTCTGAATAAAATTTCAAATTGTTCTGGACTTTTGTAAGCCATGATGCTGTATGCAATGGGGAAATTTTGCTCTTCATCTGTTAATGAATCCATTATATATCCTTTGTTTTTTCTGAATTTTTCACAGTTCTTTGTTTGGTTGACAAATACCTTTCCTCTCGTTTGGAAAGAAATAGATTTGCTTAAACGCTTGGCTTTTTCTATCTCCTTTGCGTCCCCTTCAAAAAGTAATTTGCAGTTTACATATTTAATAGACCGATTTTTGGTAAAATAATTTTGCGATATTGATTTGTTTCTTAAGGTTGATTTTGTCTTTGATTTCCTGTATAATGGCGAGTAGGAGACAAGGGAGGTATTTTTTCCAACACTGGCACTGAATTGTTCCCTGTGCTTTCTCAGTCGTTCTCTCTGTGCGGCTTTCTGTTCTTCATAATCATTTATTATCTCTTTGATTATCAAAGATATGTTATTTATTTCTAACATATCACTGGAACTTAAACGATCTTTAAAGTTTCCATATACAGTCAAAGTTCCATTTCTGTCATATTTCAAATTTCTAGCGATGAATCTGTAAAGATTCTGTGTTGTTTTTTTCGACAAAGATAGGTAGCTAGATTTCCAAACATGAATCGCAAGGAGTATCGATACAAGAATGACACAAACCGCGAAATTAGTCCTCATTTGTTTCATTGTACTCTTCATGGTAATGTTAAGTTCTATTCCATCGAGAAAACGTGTAATCGAACGACTAACTGTGTAGTATACCTCAATGTGGTTAACTCTGGTTTATACGGTAGAGGGAAATCCATTCAATCAGTAGAAAACAACGATAGCCCAACAGCAAATAAACTGAAAGGTACGACTCCCGATAATTTGGACTCGTCGCTCTCTACCCATGGGTTTATCCTTAGATTTCCGCAGAGTGCATGGTATTTTATCAGCCACCTGTATTTTCATCTTTGTTGACACCCAGATTTAATGTAGAGATAATAGTTTTAAATCTCAAGAAGAAATAAAAAGAGGTTGCCAAAACAAGTTTGGGAACCATTGCTGTTTTTGGCATTGATTTTCTAGAACCATTTTGTAGTTATTGACTATGCCTATAGGCACTGTCAGAACACTAAAAAAATTTCACCTTTATTAAAAGTATATATCTGGGAGTTTCTAAAAACAGCTCAGGTTTTGACATCAAACTTTTTAAAATAGAAATTGACTTGATTGATTATCAGTTCAGTTGTATCACAGTGTAGCAACTGAAAATTTTGGAAGCTTCTATGTGTTTGCAGGTGTATTTTCCTTTTAGAACAAGAAAAAATCCGATAGCGGTGTATTGATTTTTTTCAATATCTTTTGCTTTAAAAATTTGTATGACAAAGATTCTCCAGCGTCATATTTTGAAGAAGAAAAATGATAGTGTTCCATTGAAAATGGTTTGAGAACTAGATGAAACTAACTAAGGTTTTTCATTTTTCACTTAGAATGCCGAAACTCGAAAAATAATTAATATACCTTAATCAAAAATACCTCTTGATAAAATTTTGTCAACCATGGGGGTGTAAAGTAAACTTAAAGTACTCGTTGCCCCACTCCCGACCTGGTAAATTGGAATCTTATCTTTAGACTTTCGTCTGCGAACCCCCAGTGTTTCGCAACACAGAACTATTACATAATATATTTGTCTACACATCCGCATTCTATATATGTACAGTGGCGTATATTCCATATAGACAAAAAGGCTGTAGCCTACACATCTTTTTCTCAGGGGTAAAAATTTGGTTGAATAAAGGTGCGGGGAGTTGCTAATAAATCGTACCTATTAATTTTATTTTGTTGCAAATGCCAAAAAAGTATTCTTAGCAATCCGCACTTTTATACCTACATTTGTATCCGATTATGTTTACAGTTTTGCTTTATATTTTAAAAGGACAAAACTATTCCCATAGCTGGAATTTTTTAAGCCAAAGTTCAAGTGTTATTAATATCAAGTCTGTATCAGAAAACTTCATCGAAAGCAATAAGTGCAGTAAATGAAATTGATAATTTGAAATATATTTGGTTAGAAGGAAATTGATCGAATTTTGATTATTCATTAAGGAAGTGTCCATATTTTCTAAGCAGAGTAATAGGATAATTTAAGGATGTACAACACACCTACCCCAAAAATTTCCTGTCGTTTAATTTTCGCTAATTTTGTATATCTTATACATGACAATATCTACTATGTGTATGTACATTTTGGTCAAAATCGTTCGAGCCGAATTCGGACAGGAAGTTCCTAAAGTTACACCCCCCCCCCCACATTTGGCTGATCACGAGTGCAAAAAAAATTCAACCAACTAACTATAAAATCCCTTATTTTAAAATATTTAAGGTTAGCCTAGCTGTCAAAATTTGCCGAATCGTTCGTTTAACTATTAAACACACAAACAAAGTGAATTTGTAGGGGTACACTTCGAGAAAAACGATTTTGAAGAATTTAAACTGAAAAACTATGGTTCATTTTTGCATTGAAAAAAGCGTGATTTTCAAATGAAATATTTTTTTATGAAAAAATCTGTCGTTTAATTTTGAAATAAAATAATTACTTCTTGTAACTGATGATCAAAATGTTCTTGATAATTTTTTGAAAATTTTTTAAACGACGCGTTTTGAATTTATAGCGGAAAATCTCTCCTCCACCTCTCTCCGTAAGTTACGTTTCTCAAAGCGTCTTTCAGACTTGGGACGAAAGTAATGCTATGAATCTACAAATACAGATAAAAATTCCTAGCTGGAAAATATCTTTTACTTAAAAAATGTAATGTACATTATTTATCACAAATATAAAACTTTACATCTGCATTTAAATGAAGATGAATAAGCAATATCTGAAATTTTAAGACCCCCCCCCCTTATTCTCTGCAATGCAAGACATTTGAGCTTGAAAAAAAAATGACATCGGTTACGTCTGCATAATATATATAATTGGCATATTGATTGAACTCCTACAGTAATGACCTTCATTCGTGTATACAGATTAAATATTGACTACTAATATTTTTTGTTATTCTAAATATTTATATTTAGTAAATACGAAAGCCTAGAAGGGTCAAATAAGAAAATAAAAAAATAAATAAAAAGTCGTAATAACGAGATAAAAAGTCGTTATTACGAGATAAAAAGTCGTTATTACGAGATAAAAAGTCGTTATTACGAGATAAAATGTCGTCATAACGAGATAAAAAGTCGTTATTACGAGATAAAAAGTCGTAATAACGAGATAAAAAGTCATTATTACGACTTTCTTAAGTCGTAATTACGACTTTTTATCTCGTAATAACGACTTTTTATCTCGTAATAACGACTTTCTTAAGTCGTAATAACGACTTTTTATCTCGTTATTACGACTTTTTAATTTTTTTTAAAGTTTTCTTATTTGACCCTTCTAGGCTTTCGTAAGTAAAACTTTTATGACCACGTGTCCGGTTTGGAGTTCATGCACTCGGGTACAGTTTCAAACCTTTATATGACATCTACTCGCATTGATTATTATTTTTTAAGTGAACCAACAGTGGTGTATGTACAGCTCTCTTATGATGAACATGGAATATATATACGTATAGGTTTTAAATTATTTCTGTTTTCAAACGAGAGGGTGCCCCCCCCCCCCCGGATATTGTTTCCTTCTGTTGTTTCAATAAATGGAAATGATGTATTCGTCCATATTGACTTTAATTGTACCAAATTGTAAATTATTTATCAAAATTAAAATTATTCATGTGTCTGAATCATCTACAATGGTATCATCAATCGTTTTGTTTTTATTCGAGGAAATGCGAACTGAAACTGTTTACAGTAAAAAATGGGGTGCAACCGTTGTATTAATTTTTCACTGTTGATACTTACTTGTCTTTCAGTTCTTTTGTTCCTTGCAACACACTGTAAATGTATCTGTGTATTTGTGATGGAAATTAAAAAACAATTCTTCGGAAAACAGGAGGAATAACTCAGCTAAGGGGAGGAAAGACATACCATACACCTCTACATTTTTAGAGTTGTTCCTCTTTGATCAGTGACCTTCTGAAAACGGTTACCCCTTTTCATTTTTTTTTTCAAAGAAAAGAAAAGCAAGAAAATGTTTATTTTCGTAATATGGTAATATTTAGACATACTGGTAATATTTATTCTCAATGTTATGCGGCCGATTGTAACGGGAAAAAGCAATGTAGAGTAGCATTAACATTTTTAGATTAAAACATTGCCATTGTGTATATCATAAATACAATATCAAAGAATTAATTAACTAAATTTGAATTAAAGAAGGAACCTGTCTTTTTTTCTTTTTCATGGAGAGGGGAGATTTATTGCAGTTGCGCAAATGATCAAGGATAGGATTTGGTATTCCTGAAGAAACCACAGTAAAAACCTGTATTTTATTTTTATTATTATTATTTTTTTTTTTTGACATTAATTACATCGGGATCGTATCGCTCGTCATTTTGACGCTTCGTAATTAACGTCAAATTTAACGTTATGTTGAACGTTTTATTGAAATCCCAAGAGTTATCTCCCCCAGTGTGTTGTACGTCTTTAAGAGTTCTCAGTTTTGTTAGTGGTCTTCATGTCACGATATAAACTGAAATTATGTCTACAATATTATTTTTACTGGTCAAATTAAAATTGTATCTTGGTGTCTGGGTTTGCAAAAATGCTCCCTTTGAACCCCCCCCCCCCCAATACCTATCAAAAGGGAGCTTTTTGCCTACCCACACTTTGCCTAGCCTACACATTATCAGAAAGGGATATACGCCACTGATCGATGTATATGTACACTTTTTTCAGTCTCGTATACAAGATTGATATTACGTGCAAAATCCATCCAAGTATCCTGTTGAGGTTGAAAATCACTTTCCGCATTAATTTGCTTGATTTTTAAGGGATTTGTCTTATTTGGTTCATAGGCTTAAAAATTAAAGTATTTCAGATTACTTGAAATTTTAATTAAAACATATCACCGACTAGCTTAAAATAGTGAGGTACCGGTAACTTGGTTTCTAGAATATGTTTAGAAAAGATTTTTACTCAAGTGAATATGAAAGGCTTTGAAAATACACCTTTTAAACATACACGTATATCGATTACCGCATACCCCCCCCCCCCCAACCAACAAAAAAAAAATTAAAAAAAAAAAAATTAGAAAATTGGCACCACAGGGTTCTTTCTATATTTTAAATGATATTTTTAAGATAAATCATCAAGAACTATTGGTAGGGCTGGTCCATGTATTACATCATTAGTGGAAATAGTGTTTAAATCAATGTTCTCTGCCTTTGCAAATGATTTAACATCTCATTTTTATAAATTTCAAGGATATGTTCTTGAAACTAAAGTTTTTTTTTTTAATTTTAATTTCACTCAATCATCTTTAGGCTTCGATTAGAGACGTAATTATCTGCATAAATATAGCGTATATCATTACATAATTAATGCATAATACAATATTTACATTAAAAAAAAACGAAGAAACATGCATTTCCTGATATGATCAATCCTCTTATACAAGAAAAATAAAATTTACACATCGGTATCGCTTTGGCTCCGGGGCAATAAAACTTAGATGAGCTCACTTTTGATCTTAGTCTCACTTTTCCACTATATATTTCTTTTGTAAAAGTGAGATTGAGATCAAAAGTGAGCTAATCTAAGCTTTATAGCCCCGGAGCCTGATCTAAGATTCTGAAGCCATTGAGCACAGTACACTACAGGACCATATTCGCGATAATTTATGAAAGAAAACAAAATAAAAGATAACTTAAATAAACAGTCATACGGAATGGAAATCAATGTTTTGTTTAGTTTTTCGATTTACACTCACGAGGAATAATTAGGAAATTTATAAAAGGGCGGAAACCAGGAAAAAAAGATGGGTATAACTCTCAAGGTATGAGGAGAAACGAAGAAAAATTGATTCTTCTCATCCAAATTGGCAAACAACAACGCTATGTGACGTTGTCATATTTTTATATATGGAGAGGACGACAGAAGAACAAATACCGTAAACAACATAAAGAACAACATATCTTGACAAACTGAAGAACAAGATACACAGCGTTTATCAGTAAAGAAGGTGAAGATAACGAACAGTTATCGATCTAAATAAAAATCTAAAAAAAACAATGTAAATCATAAAACACGGATCGATCCCCAGCAATTCTAGAGATGGGATCAGGTACCTAGGAGGAGTAAGCATCCCCTGTCGACCGGTCGACCAACGAAAAACATAGAATTCGGTCGTAAAAACAAAATATGCAGACGTTTCGAGGAAAGGAACCAATGCTGTTAGAGGTCAAAGATACTGTTCCACAATAGCGAAAGCGTTTTACGATTATCATTGGCCCTATTGCTATATCATCAATATCAGTAAACAGTTTGGCCTACATCACAACCCCACCAAATTTGACTCTGTTTATTTAAAAATTTAAGTGGTCTATTTGAACAGGCTTAAGAAAGTCCATACTTGGATTTTTCAACACTAGAATACAGGTCGGAATCTGTAATATGGATATGTGTTACAAA